TAATCTATTAACCCTAGCAAGTAATCGATTAAAACCTTTAAAAATACGACAACCTTAATATTAAAAAAGGAAACTCTAAAATGACTATATGCATTAACCAATTAAAAGCTTTTCTAGTTGATTAAGAGATCATTTACCATGCTCTAATTGATTGGATCAAGTATTTAATTGATTAGGTAGTGTAAAAACTTTACTATTTGATCAAGAATACTTCTTGGTCAATTTCATACAAGCCTTCATAGGCATTCAAGAGATTTTATGAAACCAGTGAGGGTTTGAAAAACTTTGTGTGTGTGTGTGTGTGTGTGTGTGTGTGTGTGTGCGCGCGCCATATTACTTCAACACTTACTTTTGACCTTTATATTTAAATTGATCGCTCTAAGATTCTAAGTAATGAACCAGGAGATCTTCCACACTTTATATATATATATATATATATATATATATATATATATATATATATATATATATATATATATATATATATATATATATATATATATATCAGAATTCAAGGTCCCTCTACTTTATTCATCAACTTAATTAACACTACAGTTAGATTCTTGAAATTTCTGTCTGATAAGGCTTTAGATATTTTCTTGATGACGTGCCACAATCATAAACTTTTCATGACAGATGAAATCAACTCGCCATCTAGCATAGAAATTTTAATATTCAAAAGTCATTTGACTTATGGAGTTGTTATCTTCAAAGCTTTCTTCATTAGTTGTCTTCATCGAAACTAACTGACGACCATACTTACAAGCACATCAATCCATAATCTTAGTAGTAATCTCCTTTATGAGAAAATTTGGTAGAATGAAAGGGCCAAAAGGCACTGACTTTTAGAATGGGATCTAAACACTAATAATTTTCACCACAAAACTTCTAAGAGAAAGCAACACAATAATATATCAAATATTTTTTGAACGATGAGAGTTTATCCTACAATGAAAATCGTTTTCATGAGATTTTCTTAGAACTCTTTAGGAAGAACTGGATGGACTTCTTTGTGTTCGACGGAGAACTCAAAGAAAGCCCTGCATTTGTCTGGATTCGCCTCTATTCGTCATTTTGTCAAGTAGAACCCGAGGAATTTGCCTGCCCGTACACCAAAGGTGCACTTCTCCGGATTGAACCTTATTCTGCATTCCCTCACCGTCTCGAAGACCTTTTTGAGATGGGCGGTACGGTCGATTTCTTCTCGTGACTTCACGATCATGTCGTCCATGTAGACCTCGAACATGTCTCTGATCTCTGCCCGAAAGAATTTATTCATCATCCGCTGGTAGGTCGCGCCGACATTTTTCAAACCGAAGGGCATTACGTTGTAGTAATAGTTGCTTAACTCAGTCATGAAGGTTGTATAGTGTTTGTCGGCCTTCGCAATGGGGATTTGGTTGTACCCTGAGTATGCTTCCATGAATGACAATAATTTAAAACCTGCAGAATTGTCAATGAGTTTGTCGATGTTAGGTAACGGGTAAGCATCTTTGGGACATGCCCGATTGAGATCAGTGTAATCAGCGCACATCTTCCATTTTCCATTATGTTTTTTTAACTAGTACAACGTTGGATAACTAGGTTATGTACTGGGCTTCCGATATAAAATTTGCATATATGAGGTCTTTTACAGCTTTTTCAGCAGCCTCCGCTTTCTCGGGAAACTGCCTATGCATACGTTGAACTATGGCCCTAGCACACAGATCTATGGTGAGGTGGTTGCATGTTACGTCAGAGTCGAGGTCGGGCATCTCAGCAGCGCTCCACGTGAATAGGTCAGCGTTCTCCCGGAGGCAGGCCTTTAGCTGCTTCCTCGCCAGGTCGGGGAGTCCCGCACCAATTTTCACGCTTCTTCCTAGGTCATCTCCGAGCGTGATGGACTTGAAGTCTCCATGTGGAATGGGGTGCATTAGATGGGGCGAATGCCTGTTGTTTGTTGGAGGTGCATTTTCAGACTCTGCACTTTGCTCTTGCTTGTTCGGGAAGCGGCTGTCGAGATCGACGGAGTTGACGCAGGGTAGTGGCTTCTGGTCTTTAGCCCGGGATGGCGTGTCGGTCGTCTTGGGGTGATGTTGATTGAGTTAAGGCATTTGATTGCTGCCTCGAAACATCTCATGGCCGCCTCGATGTCCCCGTGAAGGGTGACGACTCGACCTCTGGTCGTGTAACACTTCATCTTCAGGTGTACTTTAGATGGTACTACGATCAGTTCAGTTAAGGTCGGCCTTTCCAGGATGCATTGGTACAGAGAAGGACATTTGATCACCAAAAAGCGGACCTTCACCTGCCTGGTAGTCTTCTCGGCTCTGAACGTGATGAGCAGCTCCACGTATTCCCAAGGCTTTGTGGTGGTGCTGTTGAAACCCTATAGGTCGAAGCCGACATACGGGGTCAGGTGGCTCTCGTCGAGCTGGAGGGTAGTAAACAGATTAGCGTACATTATGTCCACCTAACCCCCTTGGTCGACTAGGATTCGACTCACGTTAAAGTTCTCCATCAGAGCCTTGATCAAGAGGGGGATGCTGGAGTTGGATGCACCCCTGGGTAGCTCCTCGAGGTAGAAGGTAATCGGGTTCGATTAACCTTTGAACTTTTCGATGGTAGTGCACTTCTTCGAACTCTTGTCGATCAGCTCCTCGAATTTCCTCTTGACCAACCCGACTAAGAGCTTGTCGGGGCCTCCGTCGGATATGACCAATGCGGAGGGGAAGTTCTCCCATGGACCACGGGCGAACAACGATGTGTCGTGCTCGCCGGGAAAAAGAAAGTCTTCTGGCCGGGAGACACATAGGGCAACTTGCAGTCTAGCTTCTTTAGAGGGTGGAGACACCTCATCGACCCTCTTGGCTTCGCGGGTCTCTTATCGAGGAGCCTCGCTTCTCCGAGTGTACTAGTTCAGGTGTCCCTCCTTGATTAGGATCTTGATCACATACTTGAGGTGGATGCAATCTTTCGTGATGTACCCATGACTCCGGTGGAATTGGCATTATTTGGACTTGTTAACGTTGGGCTTGGGGGTGTCAGTTTCGGAAAATGAACACCACCTTTCTAAAATTCTGAGTTAATACACTCGGATAGGATGCATTCGCGGGGAGCTATGATTAGCGTGTACTCAGTGAACCGACCTGCTGACCCCCTCTATTCTAGGGGCTGGTCCTTTCTTCTTCTTTCCCGCCTTTTCGAGAAGCAGCGATATCCTCGTGCCTGGTGCCCCTGACGCCATTTTGATTCCCCGTGTCGCGAGTGCAGTGGGCGGCCTCTATTTCCTAATACTGGATGTATAATTAAGCCTTGAGAAGGAGGGCGTTTAAGGTGCGGGGTCTTTCAATACCGACAACCTTGGCGAAGTCGGTGCGAGGTCGTAGTCCTTGCTTGATCAGAAATTTCTTTATGTCGTCCGAGGTGGACACCTGGACAGCTTCTCAGTTGAACCTCTCTATGTAATCCTGAAGAGGTTCGTCTTTTCCCTGGATGATGACTTTTAGGGATGCTTCCATCTTCGGATCGGGTCGGGAAGTTGTGAAGAGCCTGAAGAACTGCCTCTTCAGTTCACCCTAGAAGGTGATGGACTCGGGTGCGAGACGATTGTACCACGTCATAACACCCTTCCTTAGGGTAGTGGAGAAAAGCCTGCTTTTGATGGCTCCTGGACGTTCCGATAGTCGAGCATCACATTGATGCTTTTGATACGGTCGTCCGGGTCAGTCATACCATCATAAGTCGCCAAGGTCGGGGGTTTTTCCATCTCGACGGGAAACACAGTCTCCCTGATGGCCCTGGACAGTGGTGAGCGCTGATCGTCCTCGTCGCTTCTGATAGGTGACCGAGAAGGGGAAATGTCACCTCAATCGTTTCTGTTGCGTCAAGGAGCATTCCTCAGCTGGCTCTTTGGATTCTCGACGCCTCCCTCATCTTTGTTTCTCTTTTGAGTGGGGGAGCATCACTCCTTCCAGGAAGGGGATCAGTCGTGTTTTTGGGTGGCCACTGGCTGAGGCCGCTCCAAGCGAGGACGACGTCTAGTCTATCAGAGAGAAGGGCTCTGAGAGTCACCGTGTCCTCCGTGAGGGAGGAGAGGAACTATTAGAAACGGGGCGACGATGTCTCTGCGGAGGAAAGCGTGATTATCACTCCTTCTCGAGCATCCCTATCCGCTCATTCTGTTAGAAGATCATCAGATTGATCTGGTTGATCGCCACGAACAGAGCCACCATGCTTTTGATACGGTCGTCCGGGTCAGTCATACCATAATAAATTAAAAATAAAATTTATGATTTAATATAAATATAAAATTTATTCAAATAGGAAACTTATTTCTCTCGGAATCTAGATAAGTTGTTGGACAATCTTTCACAAGATCTTACTATTATTATATCAAAAAAGAAATTAGAAAGTGCTACTTTATTACACTAAAATAAAATTCTTTCAAAAAAATAAACTAACACTTTATTTGCAAGTACCATTAATTAATCATAACCATAGCATAATTATCTGTAAAAAAGAGTAAAAGAGTAGATTAAGACAATAAAATAACAATTTAATACAATAAAAGAACTTCAAGTTCTATCCAAATGGGCCCCACTTGCACTTTTCATATATCTTCTCTAACAAAATGACGATACTTTCCGCTTCTTTCTTCTGAAGAACAAAACAAGAATCCCTAAACACTCTTTCTCTCTCTTTTTTTTTCTCTATCCCTAATTTTTCTCTTCAATATTCAATCTTTCTCTCACAATTTGATTTTGTTGCTATACTTGTAACCAAGATCAACTGTGAATTTATAGGTTTTTCTAGTTGGGAGAAGTTTAGATTTGGTGAATTGGATGTGTCTGTGCTATAATCACTTTTTTTTTTAAGCTTCAGAATTATAAGTGATTGTGTTGTGTAACTGTGGAAGTTAATTGAGTTGTTGAATTAGAGGATTGTGAATTTGTTGGGTGATTAGAGTTTAAGATCGAAAAGGGGTAGGGTTTTGTTTGTTGTGTTGGGGAAAGTTGAGGATGAAAAGAGGGAATGATGATGAGAAGATGATGGGGCCATTGTTTCCTAGGTTACATGTTGGTGATACTGAGAAAGGAGGGCCTAGAGCACCACCTAGGAATAAAATGGCTTTGTATGAGCAGTTTAGTATTCCCTCTCAAAGGTTTAACTTGCCACTACACCCGAATACTTTGACCAATTCGGTTCCCCCGGCTTCCTCGAGCCAGGTAATTTTTAGAATCGGGGGCTTTTGTTAAATCTTGAGTTAATGATTTGGATAGAAGTATGATCCTGGATAGATCACAGAACATAATATGTAGCTGGAAAGTTGATCCATGTGGCTGGTTAGTTAGTGGATAAGGCTTGGTTGTTGTTGATGGTTTTCTATTATGTATAGTTCCTTGTAGCATTTGGATAGTTTAATTTGGCAGTTAGTTTGCACATTTGTGTTCTAGTTTTAAGATTGTGTGAGAAATAGTTTTTTTTTGTTGTTATTTTCTGAATGTTTGTTTTTTACATGTTGTAGGGGACTGTCCATGAGCGAAATTATGTTTTTCCTGGTCATTTGACTCCTGAAACACTTATTCGTCAGGCTGGAAAGCATCTCTCTCGGCAAGCAAAAGGGGCGAATTTGAATGCTTCTCTAGCACAACTTGAACATAGAAAGAAGGTTGATGAGGATGACTTTAGGGTTCCTGTATACGTTCGTTCAAATATTGGTCAATCTAATGAGAAAAGGATTGAGAGTTTTGATGGGAAAAGACCCCCTTCTACAGGCTCTAGGTATTTTGGTTTTCTGAAACCAGGTAAAATTGATCGGGAGAGGGAGCCGAAACAGCATGGATCTGCAGTTGTTAATGCAGGGACAGACGTGAGAAATGAGATTGATGGTCCTCCGCAAGTGAGTCCAAATAAGGAGCATCCATTTACATCTGCAAGAGACGAATCGATTGGAGAACGTAGTGACACCTTAGTAAGACAAGGCAAAGTGACTGCAAATCAAGACGTTCAAGATCGCCGTGTGTTCAAACTTGACAGTTTACGTCAAGGTGATTCACGCTTACGTCAAGACTGTCGAGCTGAGTCGCAATCAAACGGACATGGAAATGGACAAAGTGACAGTCTCCTTGAATCGAGGGAGGTAGACAAGAGTCCCGGCCCTATAGTAAATCAAACCAGTCCAACCCAGGCTGTCAATGGCACTAAATATCATGATACCGGGACAGGCAGTCCGAAACAGTTAGAACATTTATCAACAGTAAAAATTTCTCCTGATGATGTTGTTGCAGTGATAGGCCAAAAACATTTCTGGAAAGCTAGAAAAGAAATTGCCAAGTAAGTCTCGCTGCTCGTCACGTTCTTTTATGATTTTAAATAGGAATATTTGAAAGGTAATCTGGTTCATAAATATTGAATAGTGAACTCTATTAATTGCATCAACCTGAAGTTATCTAGATTGCTGAATTTTATGAATGTTAGAATTTTGGCCAAAAACAAAAGGCTTAATTTGTTTTACAGGGAAATGCATGAAGATTTAGAATATAAATAGCAAAATTACTACTTCTGATGGAAGTTTGATAGTCCACTGATTTGGTTTTTGTTATTTTGTTAGTATTTTCTCCTACCTTCTATATTATACTCTCTTGCATTTATCATTAGCCCAGTGGTTTGAAAATTACTACTAGGGATATAGGTTGGATAGTTACATTTCAATTTTCAATCTAGGAGTTGTATGTATGACTTTGAAGAAAGGAAATATTTTAGTCACGGGATCCTTGCCGAATTGTTTTTTTTTTTTTTTTTTGCGTTCAATGTCCTTACTAATGTTTTATTGGTGGGTACTGGTTACTACAGGGAGAGCTTTAAATTATACTATGTTGGAGGGGGTCCTTTTGACCGCAGATCATCACATAATTTACTGTCTTCTAGTGACTGGATTTTGGATGTATTCCTGTCTTGGTATCCTCTTGCTTAGTTCTCCATGTCGCCACTTGGGCATGTTTCCTTGCACTACACTGAAGGACTTGAGCTAAAGAGGGGGACCAAGTAATTCAGGATGACCCCTGGATGTATGTGTATTACCTCTCAATAGATGTTATGATAGTTAGCAGATTTCCCCAACTTACCTAGTGTCTTGGTTTTCTGTGTTTTGAAACATTATGGGTAAGGGATTTTATTTTATAATAAACAAACACATTAGCTAGTTAAGGTGTCCTGCTATCTATAGCTCTGACAGATTTCATATAATTAATATTGTGTGATCGAAGATTATTTGATTTTTGTAATGTGTGCTGTATAAACTGGTGCTTTCAACCTTATCATGTCTAGCTTAAAATGCTTTATTTTCTATTTTATTTTGATTGTATACGTCATAAGTCCGCTTTTGATCCCCATGTTATTAATGTTGATTGAAAAATAGCCCGTTGAACGTGTTGCCTGCTGTGATTGATGATCCTTCAATTTTTGTTGTTTATAAGTCGGTGCTTCTAGCATTTCGTTTTAGTTCCATATGCTCTATTTTTCATTTCGTTTCAATTGTCTGTGTTTTTAGAATTTTCTTGATCCAACTTCTGTTCCTCTCTACAGTCAACAGAGAGTGTTTGCAGTCCAAGTGTTTGAGTTGCATAGACTGATAAAGGTAAATTATCTTTGACATTGATCAGTGCTTTGTACTAGTCCAAAATGAGGAATGCTTTCACACACCCTTTAGCATATATGTAATGATTAATTCTTTTTATTTAAGCAGGTCCAACAACTGATTGCCGGATCGCCAGATCTATTGTTTGATGATGGTGCATTTTTAGGAAAGTCTCTTCCAGATGGATCTACTCCTAAAAAACTCTCATTGGAATATGTTGTAAAAGATCGGCTGCAAAATCTCAAGCGCAAAGTTGATTCTGAAAAGATAAATCAAAACCTGGAATGTTCTGCAGAGAATGCCGTTGGTAAAACATCTATTTCATCAGTGAAAAATACGAGCCACATTTCAAGTTCCATGCCTTTTGCCGGAAATCCACACCAAGGAAATATGGCTGCTGATAACGGGATGGGTCCCTGGTGTTTCAATCAGTCACCTGGGCATCAGTGGTTAATTCCCGTGATGTCTCCTTCTGAAGGGCTCGTTTACAAGCCATATCCCGGGCCTGGATTTACCGGAACAAATTTTGGAGGATGTGGGCCCTATGGGGCTGCTCCTTCGGGTGGCACTTTTATGAATCCTTCCTATGGAATCCCACCTCCACCAGAGACTCCTCCAGGCAGTCAAGCTTACTTCCCTCCTTATGGCGGCATGCCAGTTATGAAAGCTGCAGCTTCAGAGTCAGCTGTTGAACACGTGAACCAATTCTCTGCACGCGGCCAAAATTGTCGTTTATCTGAAGATGAAGCTGATTGTAACAAACACAATCAAAACTCATGCAATTTACCGGTTCAGAGAAACGGAACTACATCACATGTCATGTATCATCAGAGATCCAAGGAGCTTGAGGTGCAGATGAGTACCGCAAGTAGTCCTAGCGAAATGGTACTAGAAATGAGCACGGGACAAGTGGCTGAAGGAAGAGATGTACTACCTCTTTTCCCTATGGTTCCAGTAGAACCAGAGAGTGTACCTCAGTCTCTCGAAACAGGACAACAAACTCGAGTTATCAAAGTGGTACCTCACAACCGAAGATCTGCAACTGAATCAGCAGCTAGAATTTTCCAATCAATTCAAGAAGAGAGAAAACAATACGATGCACTGTAGTGGTGTATATTGACACGGAGGATCCATTCAAGTGTACGTTGCCTAGTTTCTGCACGCACTGCAGGTGCGCGTGCCATCATGTAACGGTATATTATATTTACAGCACATTGGTATGTATATATGTCTGTCAAATCAAAATTGGTCAAAACATAGTATTGTTGTACTTTGTCCTCTTAAGTAATTGTAAGTTTTTTACAGGAATTGAATCACCCAAAAGAGTGCTCCCTTTTGCTTGGGAGGAGCTGCTTTTTGATCCCTATGTACTACTTGACATGAAAACTAATAAAAATCACTTTTCTTAGGCTTCAAATTTCTCAGTTTTCTCTATTATTAAAAAGTCTTAGAGCTGACTGTAAGAAGTGAAATTGCAAGATGGAAAAAAATTATACATCTTTATTGTTCATCAAACACATTTTAGCATCCAATACAAAAATATGATTTCAAGGACAATGAGGGTTTCGTCCAGCCCCTCCGAAATAGAATACAGGGTCTTTTCCATATTGAACATCATTTAAGGTATTGTAACAATCTGGTTCTGAAGCATGAACGCCTACTATCGGAGGATACTTTAGTTTTAGTGAATAATCTATAATTCTCACAACACTCATATAGCATGCGTGCCCGAATCGTCCACCTGCTGGTCCTCCACTACCCATCTGTGTTCCAGTGTGGGGAGGGTCTGTTTTGACCTCATAACTAAAAACTTGTCCACCCCATTGAACCAATGATGCACTGTGTTGTAAGTTTCTCAGTATCTCGGTCGGCCAATAGCCTACTGGAATGTTATTTTTCACTTTAAGCCACCACTTTCCATGATAATCCTAAATGATGCAGACAAATTAACCCAAGTTACATCAATAGAAATTGCACTAATTAATAGAAATACATGAACAAGAACACACATGCATGTTATTATTACCGAATATATTGCGTAGTTGAGTTCATATTGTGGACCACCAGGGGATGAAATAGGTTCTATGGCACCACCAAGCACTATATTCTTGTTTGTATGCACAAAACCTGAGCATAAAAGATCAAAGCACCCTGTAGTTCTGTATGTATCTCTCTGCACCACAATCAAAAAACCAGAAATTAGTGTTTATATGTTTGAAAAAACCAACAAAAGAGACAAATCTGTCTTCTGATAAATAAGAACTTACAGTCCAATGGACGAATAATCGGGTTCTGTGGTCACCATACAACTTTGGATTAACCTAACCATAACATATATAAGAGCTTTAGCAATATGGACTCATATCTATAGCATCATGCATGCATTAATCACTTACTATCCAACCGGCTTCGATGCTTTCGAAATTATTATCACCATTAGCAGCCTTAAGCCACAACTGAGCAGTAGTGAAATCTTCTGGTTTTTCAACTCTAGGATTCCACACATTAATATTTGCTTGCCCCCCTATGAAATTATATCCCACTGCTACAAGATATGCATCCTGCATGATTACACAACCATATCCATTTATATATTAATCATATGTACATGCATTTATACTGCACTAAAATGATATCAGATGTTTGTGCAGATGTGTGTACCGAGCGATTTGTCACTTCGACTATACCACTCATGGTGCTGGTTGAATTATCAAATATTTCAGGGGGTTTCCGTCCGAAACGATCAAGTGAACCTGCTCTCAGCAAGTCCTCTTTTCGAATTCTTCGAATAGGGATAGTTTCTTCAGGACAACTTCCACTTTTCTGCCATGTCTGAAACACATCAGAGCTTGCGTTGAAAACACCTACTGTGCTTGAATTTTCGGATTCAAGAGGAAAACTCGGCACCATCTGTATTCTATGGTTTTTTAAAGCAGGATGGTCAAAAGCAGGTTGTTTGTAAATATCGACGCAATCAATAATATCTCCGTCCTCACTCTGCAATAAAAATTGCAATAAATATGATAATTTTTTTAAAGAAAAATCAATTTTGAAATGTAAAAGCTATTTTCCTTAGCTGACAAAATAAGGTGAACAAAAAATGAAATATTAAAGTGATTGAATGAAATTGCATACCTTAATAGTTTTCACTGCTGGCTTGTTTAGAAGCTTCAATTTAGCTTCAATTTCTCTTTCTAAATGTGAAGATTTTTTTGCTTCAACTTTGAATTCTAGTAAGGAAAAGAATACACAAAGCAACAACATTGAAACCATGTGTTTTGCCATTGCACTTTGATATATTACTCCCTTCATTTCTTCTTCAATGAAATGAAGTTAGATAGATACATTCAAGATAAAAGGCACACTTATTTATACAATATTTTATATGCAGAAAAAGTGACAATATTTATGTTTTATACAATATTTGAAAAACCATATAGAAGAAGATTTTATATATTAGAAAGTATTGAATATTTTTGTACCAAAAGAAAAAAGAAAAGAAAGTACAGAATATTTTAATACAGTATTGAATTATAAATTATTATTATGTATTTATATTTTAAGTAGAACGAACAGAAAAAACAATAAAATATATGAGAAATTAAATTTATAGAATTGTCTAAATTTTGTATATAAAAAATAAATTTTGTCTAAATTTTGTACAGACTTGATACTTTTTGAAAATAAAATTTAAATTTTGTATATTATATATTATTTAATTGAATATGAGTGAATATATACTTTTTAGATATAATTAAATATTAATAAATATAGATAAATTATAGGAAGAAAAGAGAAAAGAGGTTAGGAAGATAAATATACTTTTTAAAGTCCTTCGCAATTTCTATTATCCATGCTGCATTTTACAATACATCTAAAAAGTAAAAAACAACTTATTAGTATAACAAAAAATGGAGGGAGCATCTCATTACAATACCAATATAATATTTTTTTCTTCTACTATACTCTTATTTTTTTTATCCTTTAAAAAAAAGACATTTTAAACTATAATTAATATAAATATTTTGATATGTTATAAAAAATTAACTTTAGTTAAATGTATTATGTTAACTAATAATATTTTATAATATATTATATTTAATTATCTAAAAATATTTAATAAATCAACAATCTAAAATGAAACTCAGCTGAGTTTTAAATTAAATGTTATGAGATATTTTGACCAAATTTATGATGCTGAAGTAATTGTATTATTTAACTTTTTTCTTTATTTTTGAAGGAAAATATTAAAAAAAAACATGAATATATGGAAAAAAATATTTTTTAATTTTATTTTAATCTAATGAATTCGATGATTTAACCTCTCACACTTTCATTTAATTTGACACCTCTATATATTTTCATAATTCTCAAATTGTTTATGGACAAATTTGAGTCAAAAGTATCAACAAAATTTTTGATAGTTCATTCAAAATTTTTGATAATAGATCAAAATTTTTAATATTTCATTTTTAAATTGTTAATATGAATCTTTTATCAATTTTTTTTTCTTTTTGCATTAGGGAAATCTTCGAAAAGTGTTATAGGTTATTAGAAAATTTGAAAAACATTGTATTTTCTTCCGAATTTTTATTTTCAAAAATTAAAGTATTTTTTCTTCAAATTATTTCCAAAAATATGTTTTTTATCAGAAATTTTAAAAAATTACGATTTAAATTTTTTTTAATAAATGTAATAGAAAATTCCAAAAAAATTTAGTAAAAACATAAATCTTCATATATTTAATTGGAAGAGGGTGGTGTGACAGATTAAATCTACGTTTATATATTTAGAAGATTTCGCAGATCAATTAGAGTATCTTTAATGGGAGCAACTAAATTGGATGAACTAAGTTATTTTACGTGGGTCCAAATTGACATAAAAGATTTAAGCAATTCAAAATTGAATTAAGAAATTTTTACTTCGTGATTGTTTATAAGGAATTCAAACTTAGTATTAAATGGTTAATAAAAATCTATTATTTATGTTAAATAATTAATAAAAATTTATTATTTATGTTAAATAATGAATTAGAGTAAGTTGCTTGTGTAAAACACGTAAATTAGTTATAGAGCATCTCATATGCCATGTCAGCTCTACTATAATACAGATTCCTTATTACTAACGTAAGCTATACAAAATTTGGTTTAACAACTATGCGTTAAAGTTGCTTTTAATAGTGGTGGATAAAAAATCTCAACTCTCTACCGCCAAAAACAATAGATAAAATTGATCACATATCAGACTCAATCCAATCACTATTAAAAATACTCTGTTTTTTTTCCAGTACTACGGATTTTACTGCAACTTTATTAAATAAAATTTAATTTCTTATGGAATAGAGTTTGACAGCAAATTCCGTAGATATACATGCATATAAAATTATTGAATTATAATAATAATTATGTATTTATATTTAAGCAGAACAAAAAGGAAAAACAATAAAATGTATGAGAAATTAAATTGTACACAATTGTTTAAATTTTGTATATAAAAAAGAAATTTTGTCTACATTTTGTGTAGAATTGATACTTTTTGAAAACTAAATTTAAATTTTGTATATTATGTATTATTTACTTGAATAATATTTAGTATATATTTTTTAATATACTTTTTAGACATGATCAAATATTTAGCAAATACTTTTTAGACATGATCAAATATTTAGTAAATATAGCTTGAATTATAGGAAGAAGAGAGAAGGGGTTAGGAAGATAAATATACTTTTTAAAATCCTTCCTAATTTCTAGTATCCATCATTTTTCAATATATCTAAAAAGTTAAAAAAATAACTTACTAGTATAATAAAAAATGGAGGGAATATCTCATTACAATACCAATATAATATTTTTTACTATTATACTCTTACTTTTTTTTACCCTTTTTAAAAAAGACATTTTTAACTAAGATTAATATAATTATTTTTATATGTTATAAGAAATTAATTTTAGTTAAATGTATTACATTAATTAACATTATTTTATAATATATTATATTTAATCATTTAAAAATAAATTAACAATCTAAAATAAAACTTAGCCAGTTCACAAATTAAAAATTATGTGATACTTTGATTAAATTTATGACATCGAAATAATTGCATTATTTGACTTTTCTCTCTATACTTTGAAAGAAAATAATAATTAAAAAATGAATATATGAAAAAAAAATATTTTAATTTTATTTTAATTTAACGGGCCAACTCATCTCACTATGTCGTAATTCTATTTATTTCGAGGATTTAACATCTCACATCTAAATTAAACTCAACACCTCTACATATTTTTATAATTTTCAAATTATCTATGAACAAATTTGAGTCAAAAATATGAATGACATTTCCGATAATTCATTCAAAATTTCTTGTAATACATCAAATTTTTAATATTTCGTTTTTAAATTGCTAAAATGAATTTTTTTAATCATTTTTTTGAAAATTCATTTTACATTATTGAAAATTTAGTAGAGTGCTGTAGTTTATCGAAAAGTTTGAAAAGTATTTATCGAAAATTTTCAAAATTTTGATAGTATAAACTTTTTTTTTTCAAAACTTAAAGTCTTTCTTCAAATTTTTTCTAGAAATCATTAATTTCATAAAATTTTGAGATTTTTTCAAAAATTCTGATAAATGTAATAGAAAATTTAAAAAATATTTGATAAAAACATAAATATAATAGAAGCTGCTATGTAAGATACCAGATTTAATTGGGAGATAATGGTGTGACTGATTAAATCTTTGTTTATTTAGAAGATTTGGTGTGGCAAACTAATTAATAGTGGTAGGTTAAAAATTTTAATTCTCTCCCGCAATAGATAAAGTCGGTCATATATTAGACTCAATTTAATAACTACTAAAAATACTTTATTTTTCTACAAAAAATAAATCCGCAATATACTGCAAATTTTACTGCAATTTTATTAAATAAAATATAATTTCTGCATAACAGAATTTGACAATAAATTATGCAGTACATCTGCGGATTTTCTTACAAATATATTTTATTATTAAATAATAAATTATTATTATGTATTTATATTTGAGTAGAACAAACAGAAAAAATAATAAAATATTTGAAAAATTAAATTTATAAAATTGTCTAAATTATATATATAAAAAATAATTTTTTTCTACATTTTGTATAGAATAGTTACATTTTGAAAATTAAATTTTAAATTTTATATACTATATATTATTTAATTGAATATGAGTGAATATATAGTTTTTAGATATGATCAAATATTTAATAAATATAGATAAGTTATAGGAAGAAGAGAGAGAAGGGTTTAGGAAGATAAATATACTTTTTAAAATCCTTCATAATTTCTATTATTCATACTGAATTTTCCAATACATCTAAAAAATAAAAAACAACTTACTAGTATAATAAGAAATGGAGGGAATATCTCATTACAATACCAATATAATATTTTTTTCCTCCTATTATACTCTTCTTTTTTACCCTTTTCAAAAAATACATTTTTAACTATAATTAGTATAATTACTTTTATATGTTATAAAAAATTAACTTTATAGTAGGAAAATAATTTTATAATTAATATTTTTACCTATTATCTAAAAATATTTAATAAATCAACAATCTAAATTTAGTCCGTTCACAAATTAAAAATTATGAGATACTTTGAACAAATTTAAGATACCAAATTAATTGTATTATTTGACTTTTCTCTCTATCTTTTGAAGGAAAATAATAAAAAAATTATGAATATATGAAAAAAAGAAATTTATATTTTTTAGTTTTATATTAATCTAACGGGTCACCTCATCTCTATTGTAATTTTGTTTATTTCAAGGATTTAACCTCTCACGTTTAAATTAAACTCCACCCCTCTACATATTTTTATAACTCTCAAATTATTTATGGACAAATTTGAGTCAAAAGTCTGAATGAAATTTTGATATTTCATTCAAAAATTTTGGTAATAGATCAAATTTTCGATATTTCATTTTTAAATTGCTAATATAAATTTTTTATCGATTTTTTTGAAAATTTTTTTTACAATATGAGAAATTTCGAAAAGAATTATAGTTTATTGAAAATTTCAAAAAGTGGTGTAGTTTATCGAAAATTTTTAAATTTTCGGTGATGTAAAAAAAATTTCTTTGGATTATTATTTTTTTAAATTCAAGTATTTTTCTTCAAAAATCAATTTTTTATCGGAAATTTTGGAAAATTTTAATATATTTTCAAAAATTATAACAAACATAATAGAAAATTAAAAAAAAATAAATTAAAAAACATAAAAGTAATAGCAACCGCAATGTGAGATACAGATTTAATTGAGAGAGGGTGATGTAAAGATTAAATCCTCGTTTATTTAGAAGATTTGGTGTGGCTGACCAATTAATAGTGGTGGATTAAAAATCTCAACTCTTTCGCCAAAAACAATTAATAAAATCGGTTATATATCTGACTCAATCCAATCACTACTAAAAATATTACGGAAGTTAATGCAGAAATAAATCTGCAGGTATCCTCAGATTTTCCTGTGAATTGTGCATTTGATTATTAAAATTTAAATTATTATTATGTATTTATATTTAAGTAGAACAAGAAAAACAATAAAATATATGACAAATTAAATTGTATAGAATTGTTTAAATTTTGTATAAAAAAATTAAATTTTGTGAACATTTTGTATAGAATTGATACTTTTTGAAACATAATTTTTTATGTTATATATTATTTACTTGAATATGAGTGAGTATATATTTTTTAGAAATGATCAAATATTTAGTAAATATAGCTTAAATTCTAGGAAGAAGAGAGAGAAGGGGTTAGAAAGATAAATATAATATTTAAAATTCTTCATAATTTCTATTATCCCTACTGAATTTTCCAATACATCTAATAATAAGTAAAAAACAATTTACTAGTATAATAAAAAATAGAGGGAGTATCACATTACAATATCAATACTATTTTTTTCTACAACTATACTCTTACTTTTTTTATCCTTTTCAAAAAAGACATTTTTATCTATAATTAATATACTTATTTTTATATGTTATAAAAAAATAATTTTAGTTAAATGTATTATGTTAATTAAAATTATTTTATAATATAATATATTTAATCATTTAAAAATATTTAATAAATCAACAAATGAATCTTAACCAATTCACAAATTAAAAGTTAGGAGATACGTTAACCAACTTTATGATACCGAAAAATAATTGCATTATTTGACTTTTCTCTTTATACTTTCAAGAAAAATAGTCAAAATTATAAAAATAGTAAAAACATATATTTTTTACTTTTACTTTAGCGATTAATTAAAAGACACTGTCAGTTTAAAATTAGTTTACACTGTTATTTAATTAAAATAAATTATTTTGATACATAATTGTGAAATAAAAAATTAAAAAAATCAAATTATAATTAAATTATTTTAATAATTACTTTTTCTATATTTCTCTATTTTAACGTGTCAAAATGATTTATTATAATTAAATGATGGTGTAAAGTAATTTTACAAGACAATGTATTTCAATTAATCTCTTAATTTTAACTTAACAAACCAACTCATATTGCACTGTGGTAACCATATTTAGTTCTAGAAGTTAACCTCTCACCCCTTAAATTAAACCTAACACCCTTATATATTTTCGTAATTCCATATTTTTAAATATGATCAAATATTGAGGAAATATACCAAAATTATAGGAAGAAGAGGGGTTAGGAAGATAAATATACTTTTTAAAATTCTTCACAATTTTTATTATCCATAGTGCATTTTCCAATACATCTAAAACAAAAAACAACTTACTAGTATAATAAAAAAGAGGGAGTATCTCATTACAATGCCAATATAATATTTATTTTTATTATTATACTCTTATTTTTTTACCCTTTTCAAAAATGACGTTTTAAACTATAAGTAATATAATTATTTATATATTTTATAAAAAAAACTTAATTTTAGTTAAATCTGTCATGTTAATTGACATTATTTTATAATATATTATATTTAATCATCTAAAAATATTTAATAAGTCAACAATCTAAAATGAATCGTTCACAAATTAATAAGTTAAGACATACTTAGACCAAATTTATAAGAGAAAAGGGATGATATATTATAATATAATTTTTTTTTATACTATCAACCAATGACAATTATATATTTTATCAAATCAGTTTGTAAATTTTAAATTATTTATATAATTTAATATTTTAAAATATTTTAATTAAATATAATAATAATTTTTTATTCTGAGAGTGCATGCCATTAAATTCAATTTATAATACTAAAGTAATTGCATTATTTAACTTTTCTCTTTATCCTTTGAAGGAAAATAATAAAAAGATATAGACTATATGAAAAAACAAATATATCTTTTTTTTTAGTTATATTTTAATTCAATAGACCAACCCATGTCGCTATTTCATAACTCCCTTTATTTAGAATATGAGAATTTTTTAAAGCATTCTAGATACTTCTTAGACATCTCATAAAATTTTAAAATTGTTTTTAATTTTTAGATATATATTTTTGAACATAACCTAAATTTTATAAATATATTTATTTTGAAAATATATTTTAAAATTTTTTCTAAAAATATATTTTTGAAAGCTGAAAATCTGCTTAATAGAATGTGGCATTTCTGTATAATGTTACTTATGTTATTGCTTTGTACATAACTTGGGTGATAAACTAATAATTATTCATTTAAATGAATGATTATCTAATACTGAATTACTAAGATAAGATAACATAAAATAAACTTAAAATTGGAAGTGAGGTAAAATTGAGATTGAGTGTTTTGATAACTTCATTTTCTCTCTCTCTTTTTCCAATGTGTCTAATCATTTTTAGAAAGGATAATAAAATCTAAGCAAATCAAATAAACCGAAAGATGTCTCTCTCAAACTAAGACTAGATATTAAAACCATTTTTCAATTACTCTTTTACTTTCATGAAACAACTCTTTATGAATGGTGTTTTGGACTGAGCCGACGCTTAGACCACCCCCAAGCAAGCCCAAGTCTAGCGGAGTTGGGCCCAAAAATATCACGTTGACGAGCAGCATCCCCGTCAGAGATAGACCAATTGCTGTCGAGCAGGACCCTTTTTACTGGCCAGCCGACCTCTTCGCCCCAGTGTCGGGCAAGACCTTCGCATCGACCAAACTACCCTGTCTATCCGGGGATTCCTCAAGGCCTCCCCACGTTCTCCACTGTCCCTCATGCAGGGACACGTCATGAAGTAACTACCCACATCCGGGAGATTCAGCCTTCCTCCTTCCAGATAGTGCGGAGCAGTTACACTAGGGTGAAAACCACGTGCTGGTCTCCACGACGTCACGTTAGCCTTAACAGTTGCTAACATTGGGCCTGACAGTCCAGCCCAGTGCTAGGTAACCGTTGACCCTACGCTGAGGGCTCATTATAAACACCCTCTTCACTAGAAGGTCAGGTAACTTAATCTTCTTACTCTCTCTTTGTACTTGCTTCCACTATATTCGTCACTTTGACATCAGAGTGTGTTTCAGGTACACCTCCTCCTCTTCAATACTTTGCTGAGCAACTTTCAGATCAACGACGCGTGACAAATCATTAATCCCCTTCTAGTCAGGTACGATCAAATGATAATTAAAAAAAATACAATTATTCTTATAATTACTTTTAAAATGTTAAAGAAGGCTATACACTTTTTTTAATAGATTTAACATCATATATTTTAAGCATGCAGTTTTGATGTATCTATTTTATAGATGTGGTAGTGATAAATATGATAAAATAATTTTTTTAATGAATTGATTAAGATACAAATTTATTAAATAATACTATAAATATTGATCAATAATTTATTTTTTATTTTAATCATCACTTCAACTTTTATCATAATCCCTCGTGTTGAAAAAGACCATAACAAGCGACAAAATTCTCAATTTTTTTTAATTCGGTTAAAAATGAGTTCAAATTTAGAACCTCTGAATAAGTTGAATGAAATCCTTTAACATCTCATTCAAATGTTGTTGTATTATTTTTTATTTATATTTGAGTAAAGTATATTTTTATTATGAAAAAAAGAATATATATGTGTAAAATATTTTTATATTATCAACAAATAACATACTTATATTCTATCAAATCACATTTTTATTTTAAAAATATTATTATGATTTAATACTTTAAAATAATTTGATTAAACATTTGCGTAATATTTCTTATAGTATCTTTAAACTCTTTTATTATTGTATGAGATCATATTAAAATACTTATTTTGGACTATTCTTTTTATATTTGAGGTGGAGTATATTTTATTATTGTATGAGGTCATATACTAAAAATGCTATTTTTTTCCATAAATAGACCTTTTATCAAAAGAAATTAAAATACATTAATGACATCCATTATTTTCCTTTTTTTTTTCTTCACAAACATCTTGTATAAATTAGTGTGTCATTTATCTAAATGTCCACAAGTTTATTGAAGGAGAAATGAAAGGAAGATATCAAGGTGGAATGGAGAAATGCAATGTTGCAATGATGTTGCTTTGGGTTTTCTTTTCCTTGTGTACCATTATAGAATTCAAAGTTGAAGCAAGAACATTATCATCATCATCATCTTTAGATAGAGAAATAGAAGCCAGATTGAAGCTTCTAAACAAGCCTGCAGTGAAATCTATCAAGGTATGCAATTCCATAATTCCCCATCCCTATTATAACTTTTTAAATCTTTAGGTTTTTTTTTTTGTTTATTATATGTTATTTTAATATTTTAATAAATATTAATAATATAATTATTTGTGTATTAGAAATATATATTTATTACTTTTATTATAAAAAATGAAATGTAAGTAAAAATTGTATGTAAAAGGTTGATGTTTTGAGTTAAAAATTAGGAGTTGATACATCATATATATATATATATATATATATATATATATATATATATATATATATATATATATATATATATATATATATATATATATATATATATATATATATATATATATATATATATATATATATATATATATATAAAAGGTTGATGTTTCGAGTTAAAAATTAGGAGTTGATACATCATATATATATATATATATATATATATATATATATATATATATATATATATATATATATATATATATATATATATATATATATATATATATATATATATATATATATATATATATATATATATATATTGTTAGGCGAAAGTATTGTATAAAATTATTTTTTTAAAATATATATATATATATATATATATATATATATATATATATATATATATATATATATATATATATATATATATATATATATATATATATATATATATATATATATATATATATATATATATATATATATATATATATATATATATATATATATATATATATATATATATATATATATATATATATATATATATATATATATTGTTAGGCGAAAGTATTTTATAAAATTATTTTTTTAATGGTTTTAAAATAATGACAAAAAATTGACTCAAATGTACTTAATATTTTTATTTTATTTTATTTAAAAAATCTTAGTCTCTCATTTTAAAACTAAATATTTTAGTCTCCTATTTAACAATTTATAAGATTTTTTAGTCTCCTATTAAAAAAAAATTTCTTTCAAAAATATTGTGATTTAAATTAATATAACATTTCTTTGCAGAGTGAAGATGGAGACATTATTGATTGCGTTAGCATCTATAAACAACCTGCCTTAGACCATCCTGCATTAAAAAATCACACGATTAAGGTTTGTTGTTAATTACTATTCCCATCATGCATTAGCATCTATAAACAATAATATGATGCTATAATAAATCCAACTCTAAAATAACTCAATATGATATGTTGTATAAAAAGTATAATCAATTAAATTATTATTGTTATTTTTCTAATTTTTTTACTAAAAAATTGTGTGCAGATGATGCCCGATTTTACTTTTGAGTCTCCAAACTCAATTACAGTAGACACTTTCAATGCAAGCTCTGAAGTGTTTCAAATATGGCAAAAGAGTGGAAGTTGTCCAGACGAAACTATTCCTATTCGAAGAATTCGAAAAGAGGACTTACTGAGAGCTGATTCACTTGATCGTTTCGGACAAAAACCCATGGAACTATTTAATTCAACATTCCCCACAAACCTTAACTCCTCCAACTCCAACGACACTAACGATGAAGTTAATTTAAAAAATCGATCGGTACATCTTATATTCTTTCCATGCAAATGATCTCATTTTATTTTTTTTAACCAATTCATTGAAGTAAAAATGAATTTATGAATCATATTACAATTGTTGTATGATTTTGTAGGATGCATATCTTATGACATACGCACATCATTTTAATGGCGCACAAGCCAATATAAATGTTTGGAATCCAAGGGTTGATAAGCCAGAAGATTTCACTACTGCTCAAATGTGGCTTAAGGCGGGATATGGTCGTGATAATTTTGAAAGCGTCGAATCAGGCTGGACAGTTAGTGATAACCCTACTATAAAGTCTTCATGATTAATGCATGCATGATGACATAAATACTAGTCCATATTTCTAATGCTCTATATGTTATGGCTAGGTTAATCCAAAGTTGTATGGTGACCACAGCACGCGATTATTCGTCTATTGGACAGTGAGTTCTAGTTTGTTAGAAGATTTGATTTTTTGTAACCGCGAGTTTCAAAGAAAAATAATTATCGATTTTTGATCATCCTGAATGTGTTGCAGAAAGATACATACAGATCAACAGGGTGCTTTGATCTTACATGCTCAGGTTTTGTGCAAACAAACAAGAATATAGCGCTTGGTGCTGCCATAGGACCTATTTCATATCATGATCAACAACAATATGAACTCTACTACGGAATATTTATGGTAATAATACTAATAAACTAAAACAGGCACACGCGCACACACATACACAAATTATTTACAATAACGTTACTAATGTACCAAATAATTTTAATTTTATTTAAATTGTTTTCTTGATTTAGGATCATGACTCGAAATGGTGGCTTAAAATACGGAGAAATATACCTATAGGTTATTGGCCACCTGAGTTATTTGGTAATTTAAGATACAGTTCGACGATGGTTCAATGGGGTGGACAAGTGTTCAGTTATGAAGTCAAAGACACACGTCCTCACACTGGAACACAAATGGGGAGTGGAGATGCAGCAAATGGTCGATTTGGAAACGCTTGCTATATGAGTGGTGTGAGAATTAGAGATGATTCACTGCTATTGAAGTATCCACAATATGTAACCACACATGCTGCAGAACCCTATTGTTACAATACCTTAAATGATGCTCCATATGGACAAGATCCTGTATTGTATTTTGGAGGGGCTGGAAGAAAGCCTCCTTATTGTCCTTGAACTTACGTATAAGTTAATCTATGTTATTATTTTTTTATATTGAATAATAAAATGTGGTGATGAATAATAAGGATGGTTCACTATTTTATTTACTTTCTTTTTGTTTTTGTTTTTCTCTCTCTATTTGATCTCTCACTTTGGCCACATTGTTTTAGAATTACTTTTGATGACTATGAGACTTGCATTGCACAAGATCAAACTTTGTTCATTTGGTCGATATTCATCATTTCTAAAGCAGTTTTTCCTTGCATATTTTCTAGTAAGCATGCATGCGAAGTGTAGGACAAAGTCCATAAACACTTTCACGCGATAATGAAAGAAAAAGTTTGTCAACTTTGATCGGAACTCAAGGCAACAAAGAAAGCCAATCAATCAATTTTAGAATATCTTCTCAAAATTAAAGTCATTACGGATTCACTTCTTACAGTTGGTGACATAGTCACGAAATAAACACAAATCAATGCAATTTTTGATATAAGTCAATTGTTTTCAAGTTATGTATATTGTCCTCCTCAACATATGACAAATTTGAACTTGGATGATGATGAGCCATCCTCTGATTTTCTTACAACCCGTATATGCGGTGAGAGGGTGAGTTGAAAGTGGAAGACCGTTTCCGCACTAACATTCTATTGGAGAAGTGTACAACGATATTTGTCGAAGGACGCCATTTGGGACACATGAAAACAAACCTTGATGAATCCATGAACGAATTCTTCAAAGGCATTAGAAACTTATCAATAGTCGCGTTGGTGAAAGCAACCTATTTTAGGTTAGGATCACTTTTTTCAACCAGAGACGAAAAATGGAGTTCGGTGTTACGGTCAGAGCAATTACTCAATGAAAGTTGCATAAAAGTGATGAAGGAGAAAACTCTCAAAGCTAACACACATGTCGTTAAAATCATTGACAATCATAGACACACTTTTAGTGTAAAGGAAACACATGACCACAATGAGGTGAGATCGAATGGAGACTATCAGGTCCAACTGAATAGAGGTTGGTGTGATTGTGACAAGTTTCAAGCCTTCTGCATGCCTTGCTCCCATGTCATTCTGGCATGTTTATATGCTTTCCAATCATCTATTTGATGTTTACAAAGTCATAAATATTTTCAATGTATACAACAATGGCTTCCCGGCGGTAGCATTGGAAAATTATAGGCCTACATATCAAGGGGACATAATTTGACACAACGAAAATATGCGACAAAAGAAAAGAGTCGCTCCAGTAGCACGCGAATTAGAACATAAATGGATACAACTAATAAAATGGTAAGATTATGTGGTATATATTGTCAGTCTAGATACAATCGGACAAATTGTCCCAATGTTGGAGCAAGTTCTACATGATCATTTATTTTTTTCTTTAAATTTTTGTAACCTTGGTATTTATAATATATAACAACTTTTGGTTACAACAAAAATAACATAAACATCTTTAAAAAAAACAAATTTCACACACGAACAACACACGACATATCATACAAACACAAATACACATAAAACAACAAATAAAAAAAGACTTAACACCACAACATGTCTAAGATATTACAACAATCAAAACAATATCATCTCCTACAATATCATCTCCTACAACATCATATCCCAACATCATTGTCATTTTTGACTCACACCCACATATGCTGCATAACATTATTGTCATATGCAATTGAGATTACGAAACAAACCTCTCGATACTTCTAATTCTTTCCCCATCATTAATCTCTCAGTTTAACCAACTTTTCAAACTCCTTCCAAGATGCTCGAAACCTTGGATGTTCCAAAAAATAATTTTTATCGAAGGTTTCGTTGCCGAATAACATACATGTCCATATCTTTTAACAATCATGATAGAGATAGTGAAAAAAACAAAAGAAAAATTTAAAATAAGGTGTGAAGTGAAGTAAATGGTAGGAGAAATCTCTATTTATATTAAAAAATTCCACAATTTACACCGGTGCCAGATGAATTGGCGCCACCTTTGATAAGTTATACATCAATACCAATTAGGCTGAAAACACCATATCTAATCGTCAATCCAATTGACGCCACTATTGAAAAATTAAGTGTTGTCGCCAATTTGTCTGGCACCACAACTTTGTTACAAATATTTATTTTATTAAAAAGTGGGTTAGATTGAAATTTTTGTGAAACCTCGGTACTTTTAAAAATAATTTGTACAAATAGATTTTTTGAATGAAAAAATTCAGATATATATATATATATATATATATATATATATATATATATATATATATATATATATATATATATATATATATATATATATATATATATATATATATATATATATATATATATATATATATATATATATATATATATATATATATATATATATATATATATATATATATATATATATATATATATATATATATATATATATATATATTGTTTGACTGAACATTTCTTTATCAAATCATTTTAATGCAAGCATTAATAGGAAATATGGTGATACAAAAGGTTACATGTATAGAATGAATAAGAGAATATATAATAATTAATCGTGTCCTTATAATATAAATTATAACAGTCAAATAAAAACTTTTTTATAGCCTAAAATGAATTTGAAAAGAAGGGAATAGAACAATAGATAAATATATCTTGATGTCATAATATAAAAAGTCAAATATATATATATATATATATATATATATATATATATATATATATATATATATATATATATATATATATATATATATATATATATATATATATATATATATATATATATATATATATATATATATATATATATATATATATATTATGAAATAAATCCTTTAAATATCTGAATAAAGATATTTTTTTCCAAAGGAATCTTATTAAAGATATCAATATCATTCATTATATTAATAAAATAAAGTAAAATCATATATTAAAATACTTATCGTTATTGTCTTTTTTTTCATCCATAAACTAAATACTTTGTATAAGTATGTGTTCTATTAATCAAGAATGCCTACAAGTTTATTAAAGGAGAAATGGGAATATGCAATGTTCCAACGTTGTTGTTTGGAGTGTGTTTTATCTTGTGGTTTATACTAGAATTGCAAGTTGAAGCAAGAGCTTCTTCTTCATCTTTAGATAGAGAAATAGAAGCCAAATTGAAGCTTCTAAACAAACCTGCAGTGAAATCCATCAAGGTATGCAATTTCATATTTCCTTTCGTGTTAAATTTATCTAAATTAAATACAAAAAAATTCTTCCATTAATAATTTATTCATTGTGATGACTAATCAGTGTGTTTTGGATTTTCAGAGTGAAGATGGAGACATTATCGACTGTGTCCACATCTACAAACAACCTGCTTTTGATCATCCAGCCTTAAAGAATCACACTATCAAAGTAAGTTATTCTATACTTTGCATAACACATAGCTTTCAAATTTAATTTTTGACATTGTTCATCACCATGCAGCCGATACCGAGTTTTCTTCTTGATTTCGAACCTTCAAGCGTGAGAGGTACTCCCAATGCAAGCTCTCAAGTGTTTCAGCTATGGCAGAAAAGCGGAAGTTGTCCAAAAGATACGGTCCCTATTCGTAGAATTCAGAAGAAGGACTTGTTGAGAGCTTCTTCACTTGAACGCTTTGGACAAAACCCTAAAGCCTATTCAACCAACAAGAAAAATAATTCCACCATCCACGGTGTTACCGATGATTATGTTAATCTGCAAAATCGCTCAGTATATACACATATTACAATTATTATATACATGTTGATGTTGATTTTGTTTAACTAATTTATTAACCGTAGTATAAATGGGATTATGATTATGCAGGAATCACATCTTTCAGCATTTGGGTTCAATTTTATAGGTGCAAGTGCAAATATTAATATATGGAATCCAAATGTTGAAAAGAAAGGAGATTTCACTACTGCTCAAATATACCTTAAGGCTAGCAATGGTGATTTTTTTGAAAGCATTGAAGCAGGCTGGATGGTTAGCGATCACCCTACTTCCTTGGTTGTTTTTCTGTTATATACATGATTAAATATTCCTAATGATCTCTATGTATGTTATGGATTAGGTTCATCCCGAGTTGTACGGTGACTTTAACTCTCGATTATTTGCAGCTTGGACTGTACGTTTCTATTCTTATAGTTGTTTTATATTATGAAACACCAACAGACATCAGACACAATCTTGACACTGACATATGTTAGTGTTATGTCATCTCTAACACCGGATATGTCTTCGATAAGAGTTTTTACTTTTATATAATAACTTGAATATTGGTTTCTTGATTGTTGTGCAGAGAGATTCATACCATACAACAGGCTGCTTTGATCTTACATGTAAAGGATTTGTGCATGTAGGCTCAAGTACAGCACTTGGTGCAACTGTTGGACCTTATTCATCCCAGTTTAACCAGCAATATGAAATCAACATTGGAATATTTTGGGTAATGATAACATATTATTCACATATTTATATTCAACTATCTTAATCTTAATGTACAAAACAAATATTAATTCATTTTGTCATAAATTATTGGCATGATTTAGGATGTGGATGGGAACTGGTGGCTTAAAATAAAGAACAACATAGTTATAGGTTATTGGCCAGCAGAGTTATTAGGTAACTTAAAACATAGTGCAACAATTGTTCAATGGGGTGGACAAGTGTATAGTGATAAGGTAAAGAAAAACCCTCCTCACACTTCAACACAGATGGGAAGTGGTGAATCAGCAGAGGATAGATTTGGGTTTGCATGTTACATGAGCAATGTGAGAATTAAGGATTATTCAAAATATCTCAAGTATCCACAACTTATAACAACACATGCTGATGAACCTTATTGTTACAATAACATCAATGATGTTCAATATGGAAAAGATCCTGTGTTCTATTTTGGAGGGCCGGGACGAAATCCTCCTTATTGTCCTTGATTTTAAACATAGGCATATATGGGATTGTTTTTAGGTTCTTGCTATTGCTATGAAAACAAACAAAGAAGACATCTTT